AGAAGCATCTCTCAAACCCAGGAGGTGGAGGTTGCAGTGAGCCGAGATCACACCACTGCACTCCAACCTGGGCCAAAGAGTGAGACTCCATCTCAAAAAGAAAAAAAAGTTTCACGAAGAGTAATCACTCTAAAAGCAATATAAAAGACAAAAACCTGCATCATTCATAGTGAACCTGAAAATAGACATGTCACTGGGTAACACCTCACCAATGTGTCTTGTCCTTATGGGAATGTCCATATACACTTTCAATGTAAAATGGAAGACATAGGACCACACGACCAAAGTCTGTTCTTCCAGCCATGGCTTTCCTACTATACCATGTGTCTTACAACTCTCCTACTCCTGGGCACTGAACCCACCCAACTCCCAAACCCAGTGGCATCTATTGGATGAAGGGCTCCAATAATACCTGTGTGGGCTTGGGAATATTTGCAAAGAAAGTTTCTTCTCCTTGAAAAGATATGGACATACTTCCAAGATAAAAGCTTTTTAAAAAAAAAAAAAAAAGGCCAGGTGGCAAAGCCAGAATATTTTTGTAAATTTTCTGGTCTCAAGAAATTAGTCTATTAAAGTCTATTAATTAAACTCTAACGCCAAAGGTATCATTTTGAGTTTAAGTGTTTAAGATATTGTGTTAAGCACTTTACAGGTATCGTTTTATTTAAATATCCTGTTTCTTATAAAATAGGTATTAGCTCCTTCCATCTTATAGATGAGGAGACTAGGGCTCAGAAATGTTAAGTCATTGGTCCAAGGTTTAAGAGCTAGCAAGTGACGAGACAGGATTTTGACAAGACAAAGATGAAGTCTGACTCCAGCTATACCACTGTGCAATAAGCCTTCCTCTCCAATCCTATTAAGTTGTCAGGAAGAGTGATTACTCACAGGAATGGCAAATAGGTTTTAACTCATGCCAACTCTAATCTATCAGTGGTTGTTTGGTAAAGTGTCCAATGTTTCACTGGGACTCAGTGAAAAGAATCCTGTGATCATCTAGCAATGTCTGCCATTGGTGAGAAAATGGTAGCGTGACAATATTTGCTGCATGTTTGCCATTCCTGGAATAGTGAATTCTCAGAAGAGTTTCTATCTTTAACTCTAGTTAGAATTATAAGAAAAATAACATTGACAATGCTGCCACTCCTGATTTATTTTTTAATGGAAAGACACCCATCTGTGATATAAAACTTAAAAATGGAATACAAGCTGCTAAATTGTTCTGAAGTCTGTATTAGTAAAATTTAACCTCAAATACCATCACTTTCAACTTTTTATAATTTTTAAGTGATAATACAACAGCAAAGACAAAATGAAGTGGTACAATTAAAAAAAAACCCCACTCATAACTGACAACCAACTGCCAGGAGTTCCATGGGTCAAGCACCCCGATCAATAAATCCCTAGCTTCCCATCAACCCAGCAAGACACACAGGAAAAATCACATCTGTCTAAATATATCCGCCATCACCAGAGAAGCAACCACCATGGCCCCAGCCAGCCTCATCTCTCACCTAGCTGACAAATAGCCCTCTACCTGGTATCATTGCTTCCACTTTTATCCTCCATATTTTTTGCACAAGTGCTAGAATTCTTTTAAAACATAAGTCAAATGCTATCATTCTGTCCGCTCTGCTCAAAACAATCCAAGGACATTCCACATCATTCGGAGGAAACTGATATCAAAGTCCACACAATGGGCTGGGAGGCTACGTCTAAGCTGTCCTACTTTCTTCCCATCTTCATCTCATCCTTACTCCCACGCCCCTTTGCTCTAACACCACCAGCCCTTTTGCTAGTCTAAACATGCTCTGCATGTTCCCATCTCAGGGCTTTTGTATCTGTGGTCCCCTCTGCCTGGAATGTTCTTCCATCAGACAACCCCACAGCATTCTGTCTCACCTCCTTCTTGTCTTTGTTCCAATGTCATTTTCTCAGTGAACCTTTCTACTTAAACTTAAAAATCCACATCCTCTGCCAAATCTCCCTTCTCTCCTATTTAAAAAATATTTTTCTGCATATCACTCATTGCTATCCTATGCACTACATATTCACAATTTATCTGACTCAGCCCTACTTTCCATGGCACTAGACTGTACACTTCGAGGGCAAGGACATATCCCACTTTGTTCTTTGATCTATCTCCAGTGTCAAAAACTGTGACTGCCACACAATAGGCATTCCATGAATGAATGAATGAAGCATCCAACTTATTAATTCTCCTTCCTATGAGTCAGGGAAAAATAAAGTAAAATCAAATTTTCTAAACACTTTTAAAAATGTGGATCCAGAACTCAGATTTTTCTAAATATTCTTAAATGTAGCTTTATGTGGAGACCTTGGCCTATTTCTAGTCAGATAGAAATAGCAATTTCTGAAAGTCTTAATCCCTAAGACATCACACTAAAGCTCTCAATCTTCAGTGATCACAATAACATAGGCTGTCCTTACTACCTACATGCTATGGTTTGAATGTTGGTGCCCCACTCTCAGATTCTTATGTTGAAACTTAATTCCCAATACAAGAGTATTAAGAGCTGGGCCTTTGGGATGTGATTAGGTCATGAGAGTTCTGTCCTCATAAATAAAATTTAATGCCCTTATAAAAGAGGTTGAAAGGAACACCCTAACTAGCCTTTCCACCCCTCCCACCAGGTGAAGATTCAGTAACAAAGTGGCATCTTAGGATGAGAGTGAGCCTTTATCAGACACTGAATCTGCTGCCACCTTACTCTTGGACTTTCTAGCCTCCAGAACTGTGAGTAATAAGTTTACGTCATTTATAAACTACCCATTCTACAGTATTTTGTTATAGCAACCCAAATAGACTAAGAAATTGGAACTATGCATGGGGTGCTGCTGTAGCAAATACTTAAAAACGTGGAGGTGGCTTTGGAACTGGGTAATGAGTAGATGCTAGAAGAGTTTTGAAGTCCGCTGCCATGAATGGAGGATTAAAGACAATTCTTGAGGACTCACAAGAAGAGGAGAGCTGTAAAGAAATCCTCAATCTTCTCAGGGATTACTTAAGTGGCTGTGATAAGAATATTGTATAAATATGGATGGTAAAGGCCATTCTGATGAGGTCTCAGACAGAAATTTGGAACATGTTATTGGAAACTAGAAGAAAGGCAATCCTTGTAGGGTGGCAAAGAACTTGGTTGAATTGTATTCATGTACTAATGTTCTATAGAAGGCAGAACTTGCAAGTGATGAACTAGAATATTTGGTAGAAGAAATTTCTAAGAAAAGTATGGAGGGTATGTCATGGCTTCTCTTGATGGCTTATAGTAAAAGGTGAGAATGGAGAAACAAATCCGTTTATAATCAAAAGGGAAATAAAACGTAAAGATTTGGAAAATTCTCAGCTTGGCCATGTTGCAAAGAATGTAAAAGTGCATTCAGGAAAGATCATCAAGGGTGTGGTCATGCAACTGTCTGACAAGCATATTACTACAGATGGGTGGAAGCCTGGTATTCTTCATCAAGACATGGAAAAATGGCCCAGAAAGCATTTCGGAGATCTTTAGAGGCTGCTCTACTCATCACAGCCCCAGAATTCCAGAGCCATAGAAAGGTTCCATTCTCCACATTCCAGTGCAGCACTCCTTGGTTACCCAAGTTGTGCCTCAAGTTGGCCCAGGTACAGCTCAGGTCACCCCTTCTGAGGGCAGTAAACCTTGGCAGCACCTATACAGTGCCATCTCCACCAGGAGCAAAATGCATGAGCTATGGGGACTTGGTTCTCTCCACCTAGATTTCAAAATGATGCCCTGGAGAGCCTCGGGGCTCAAGCAGAGAGCTGCTACAGAGGCAGAGGCCCCATAGAAAGCACCTACTGGGGCAATGCCTAGTGGGACCATGCAGGCAAAACCCATCTCCCCCTACCCTGGTGGCTGTTTTCAGGTGAAGGGGTCCCACACTAACAGAGCTGCTGGTATGAAACTCCAGCCTGGGAGAGTCACAGGTAAGAGACTCCAATCTGTGAGAGCTGTAACTTGGACTGTGCCCAGAAAAACCAGGAGGTGGGGCCTTGGGGGCCCAATTCCCACACCAGTGTACCTGAAAGGCAGAACTTCAAGTCAAAGAAGATCATTCTGGAGCCATGAGATCTAATGTTTTGCCCTGTTGAGTTTTGGATTTGGTCAAGACTGAGTATCCCTTTCTTCTTTCCTATTTCTCCCTTTTGAAATAGGAATGTCTGTTCTGTGCCTGTCCTACCATTATATTTTCCAAGCACATCACATGTTTGATTTCACAAGTTCACAGCTGGAGAGCTATTTGTCTCAGGATAAATTGTAACTTGAGTTTTATCCATGTCTGATTTAGATGAGATTTAGATGAGACGCCAAACTACATTTTTGAGCTGATGCTGGAACAAGTTAAGATTTGGGAGCTATTGTGATTAAATGAATGTATTTTGCATGTGAGAAAGACAAATTTGGGAGACCCAGAAACAGAGTGTTATAGTCTGAACACTTGTGCCATGCCCCTATACCCACCAAATTCTTATGTTGAAACTTAATCCCAAATGCGGTATTACCTGTAAAGGCCTTTGGGAGGTTATTAGGTTATGGTATCAATGTACTAACAAAGAAGATTGAAGGGAACATTCCACCCTTTCCATCATGTAACAACCCACTACAAGGCACCATCTTGGAAGCAGAGAACAAACCCTTACCAAACAATCTGCTGGCACTTTTTTCTTGGACTTCCCAGCCATCAGAACTATGAGCAATACATTTATATCATTTATAAATTACCCAGCCTAAGGTACTTTGTAACAGCAGCCTGAACTAAGATGCTACTCCACGTGTATTCTTCAAACCTGCAGTATTGGCATCACCCGATACTAAACCAGTGTTAGAAATTGAGGAAATCCAGTTTTTGCTTGTTCCTAGAAAACAGAGCTCTAAAAAATAATTGAGTCCAGGTGTCAGCCTACCATTTGAGTCCTGCATCAGTGATGTAAAATCTCCTTTAAAAAAAACAAAATTCTCAATATTCCATGCCTCCTTTAGTTAGCTTCCCATATCCAGCATACATCACAGCTTAAGCAGGAAAGCATTAAACCAGGAATGTGAGACCTGAGCTCACCAGTTTTGTGCTTGTCTTTAGATCATGTTTTCTTCTTTGAGGTTCAGCTGACTCATCTCTTAAGGTGGGTAGGAATACAGGCTTTTCCTCCCTCAGATGTTTTGAGTTTCAGATGGGATCAGATTTGTGAAAGTTCTCTGAAAAGAATACCAATGTTGCATAAAATGAGGTATTATTTAAGCATTAGTATTTTACTTGCCATTTCCTAACACATGCTTGGTTCATGCTTAGTAAGACAGATCCAGGCCATATCACGATTCACATTTGAGGACCAACTGTTGTTTGTTCTTAGACTAGAAGCCATAGCAGCAAAGGTAGGATATCTTCCAATTAAAAGGTTTTGGTTCTAATTATCTTGCACAGCACCAATACAGCAGTAAGTTTTCCCTTACCACTAACAGAATTCTAAGAAATAACCATCCTTCCTTCCTGAAGCCCAAAACCATTAGAACTGTGAGTTCTCCCCAGGGGCCCTTACCCTCTTTTTGTGCTTCAGTCACCAGGTCCCTGGTGATTCTTGCTTCACTTTGAGGAGCAAAACAGCTTTGTCCACACCAAGAAGGAAACTTTTTGCACCTACCAGGACAGACAGCTGTTGTCCTTGGATCAAGAGGCAAGCCACAGCTTGAGAGCTACATACTGTCTATCTTACATAGGGATGTGCTTTCCCTAACCTCCTGGTGTGAGCCCTGTCCACCACCTGTTTCCCTGGTACATGAACTCCTGCCTGTGTGCAAATCTGTATTCTTATTGATGCCCTTTTACTTGCTTCAGATATCTGATGTTGAACCCAGGTCTCCTACTCAGATTCTTTGCCTGCTTCTTTTGATTTATGCTAATTCATTCAGATCTCATTGTTACTGTCGGTATTCACAGGATTCACACACCTTCAGCTCCAGAGCTCCCCAGGGATCCCCTGGTTGTGATATTTGCCAGTGTGTAGCAGCATCAACCACAGCTAAAGTGTCTTGGCCTGGCTTCTGCTGGGTCACTTGATCTTAAGACCTCTGAAGCCTTAGTACTGAACATCCACATGCTCTTCACTCTCATGAAGCAGCATGTTCTATTTTTGCTGTATCTAGGTGCCATTGTTGTTATCTACAGCTCCATGGTGGTGCTATGGGAAGCTTTCTCACAGCTCCCAGGTTAGATTACTTAAGAAATAAAAATTTTTATTTCAATGTTTTAGTTTCAAGGGGTATATGTGCAGGTTTGTTACCTGGGTATATTATGTGATGCTAAGATTTTGAGTATGGTTGTGCACACACAGTAGCCAGTAGTTTTTCAACCCTTCCCCCATCAGTAGTCCCCAGTGTCTATTGTTGCCATCCTTATGTCCATGAATAACCACTGTTTACTCCCACTTAGAGGTGAAAATAATGGGGTATTTGGTTTTCTGTTCCTATGTTTATTCACTTAGGATGTTGGTCTCTAGCTCCATTTTGTTCCAAAGGATAAGACTTTGTTGTTCTTTTATTTGGCTGTATAATATTCCATGGTATATGTGTACCACATTTTCTTTATCCAGTCCAATGTTGAGGAACACCTAGGTTGATTCCATGTCTTTGCTATTGTGAATAGTACTGCAATGAACTTACCAGTGTGTGTGTTTTTGGTAGAACGATTTATTTTCTTTTGGATATATAACCAGTAATGGGATTGCTGGGTCGAATGGTAACTGTTTTAGGTTCTTTGAGAAATCTCCAAACTGCTTTCCACGGTGGCTGAACATTTACATTCTCATAATTTACATTCTCACCAACAGTGCATAAGTGTTTCCTTTTCTCCACAATCTCGCCATCTTCAGTTTGACTTTTTAATAGCCATTCTGACTAGTGTGAGATGGTTTGACTGCCATTTCTGATTAGTGATGTTGAGCTTTTTTATATTTGAGTGAAAACATCCAGGCACAACAGAATGTGTGCTTTGCGATGCCACATATAAAGTGCAGAAGCAAGCAAATCTAATCTATGGTTTTAAAGGCCAAGGGGAGTTATTTTGGGGAGTAGGGTAATGGCTGGGAAGGGCAAGAAGACTTGTATGTCTTATTTTGAGAAGTGTTTGTTCATGTTTTTTGCTCATTTTATAATGGGGTTATTTGGTTTTTACATGTCCAATTGCTTAAGATCCTGATAAATTCTGTATGTTAGACTTTTGTCAGATGAATAGTTTGCCAATATTTTCTCCCATTCTGTAGGTTGCATCTTTACTCTGTTCATAAGTTCTTTTGCTGTGCAGAAGTTCTTTAGTTTAATTAGGTCCCACTTGTCAATTTTTTTGTTGCAACTGCTTTTGAGGACTTAGCCATAAATTCTTTCCCAAGGCCAATGTCCAGAATGGTGTTTCCTAAGTTTTCTTCTAAGATTTGTAGTTTGAGGTCTTACATTTAAATCTTTAATCCATCTTGAGTTAATTTTTTTATATGGTGAAAGGTAAGGGTACAGTTTCATTCTTCTGCATATAGCTAGCCAGCTATCCCAGCACATTGAATAGGGAGTTCTTTCCCCATTGCTTATTGTAGTCGACTTTGTCAAAGATCAGATGGCTGTAGGAATGCAGTTTTATTTCTGAGTTCTCTATTCTGTTTCATTTGTCTATGTGTCTGTTTTTGTACCAGTACCATGCTGCTTTGGTTACTGTAGCCTTGTATAGTTTGAAGTAGGGTAATGTGATGCCTCCAGCTTTGTTCTTTTTGCCTAGGTTTGCTTTGGTTATTCAGGCTTTTTGGTTCCATATGAATTTTAGAATAGGTTTTTCTTATTTGTGAAAAATGATGTTGGTAGCTTCATAGGAGTAGCACTCAATCTGTAGATTGCTTTGGGCAGTATTGGCCATTTTAATGATACTGATTCTTCTAATCCATGAGCATGAAATGTTTTTCCATTTGCATCATCTATTACTTTTTTAGCAATGTTTTGTAGTTCTCCTTGTAGAGATCTTTCACCTTGGTTAGATGTAGTCCTAAGATTTTTGTTTGTTCCTTCTTGGTGGCTATTGCAAACGAGATTGTGTTCTTGATTTGGCTCTCAATTTGAATGTTAATTGGTATATAGAAAACTACTAATTTTTTACATCGATTTTTGTACCCTCAAACTTGACTGAAGTCATTTATCAGTTGCAGGAGCCTTTTGGCAGAGTGTTTAGAAAAAAATTACTGAGGTATAATAAACATACAGAAAAGTAAACACATCACAAATAGCTCAAAAACTATTGAGTGAACACACCTGTATTAATTGCCATTTAGAAAGGAAGAATATGAGATCTCAGAACCCTATTCATGCCTTCTCCTAGTTATTAAAATTTCTAAGATAAATACTTGCCCCTCACAGACATTACCCTCTTCCCCAAAATAACCATTCATCTGACTTTTAACACCATCGTTAGATTTGCTTGCTTTTGCACTTTACATATGGAATAATAAAGCATGTACTTTCTTGTGCATGGATGCTTTTACTTAATGTGTTTGCAAGATTCATCTATGTTGTGTGTAGCTGTAGTCTATTCTCTTATTAGCATGCAGTATTTCATTGTATGACTATGCTGCTATTTACCTACTTGTGATGAGCATTTGTTTATTTCCAGTTTTGTTCTATTAGAAGTAGTATTACTAAAAATACCCTTATGTCTTTTGGTGAACTTAAGGCCTTCATTTCCTGTTGGGCATATAACTAAGAGTAGAATAACTGGGTGAGAGGGTGTGCGCACCTTAACCTTGAGCAGGTGTAGCAGCTTTCCAAAGGTGGTGTACTAAGTTACACTTCCATCAACAGTGTATGACAGTTCCAGTTACCCTGTATCTTTGCAAACATCTGGTATTGTCTTTTTTCATTTTAGCCATTCTGGTTATTGTGATTTAATTTCCATGATAACTAATTATTTCAAGCACCTTTTAAAAAATGTATTAGCTGTTTAGATATTCATTTGTATCAGTATCTGATCAAGTCTTAGTTGCCCGTTTTTCTATTCACATTTTTTTTCTTTTGACATGTGGGAGCTTTCTATGTGTTGTGAATACCAGTACTTGCAGGTAGTGAAAATTTTTTCTATGGTTGGCCTTATTGCTCAATTAATGGCATCTGTTGATAGTGAAATTTTTAACTTCATCATCGAGTCCATAAATCAAATTTTTTCTTTATGGCTAGGTTTGTGTTCTGCAAGAAGCAGAGCAATTGACAGGCTGCTGCTGGTATAAAATTGCCCCTACTTTAGCATCTGTTGATATGAAAGTCACTCAAAATAGTCAATACTTTTACCATCTGTATGAGTTTATCAGATTTTCCCTGAACATTTTGACTGTTCTCAAAATGCAGCCTAGAAATTGCCTTGACCTTCCATTTATCCATATGCTGCTGATCTACTATTTATCTTTATGTCTTCCCTTAAATATATTATAAGACTTATTGACATGAGCTTAAGAAATTCTGTCCCAAACGATCCCCAGTGAAACAAGGATCTCTTAGAGAAAAAAAAAAAGTCTTCATAATTACATAGCAAATCAATTTGCTAGATGAAAACAAAATAAGTATTCTGATTAATTGCATTGCCTTATAAAGGAAAATTGATTAGTCTTAGACTGTTAGGGTTATTAAACCCCAGAGACTAATTAGAGCCATCTGAGGCCTCACAAGAAAGAAGGCACTATTGTTATACTTCTTTTACAGATAGAAGTCAAAGCACAACTGTAAGAAATAATATATGAAAGTCCATAAAGCAGTGCCTGTCACATAATAAAGAGCCAATAAATCTTAGCTATTGTTGTTATTACAAGTTCTTTATATTGCAGTTGTGCAAACTGAAATTCAGGGAAATAAAATACCTTGTCTCCACTCACATGGATTTCTGGTTGCAGAATTAAAACTAAACCCTCCATAGTCATATTCTCATCCAAGGGATCCTTTCTACTAAACTACAGTCTCTCAGAATTCCTCATCTATAACAATTCTGGAAGGTATTTACAGGAAACATCAATTCAAACTTTAACCAATAGAACTCAAGACATATTATTTTCATTGTTATCACTTTATAAATGATAGTACTATGCTTCTAATGATTTGATCTTTTTATTGAAACATTCTTCCTATTTATAATAAAATCTTTCAGTAAATATGAATGTATCTTCTCCACCTAAATAGCTATTATGAGTATTTCTGTTAGCTTTTGTTGGATAATAAAATCTTAAAATTTACTTAAAATAATCACTATTTTTTTTTTTAAAGAATCTACAGTCACCAATTGAGGCTGTGTTTACATGAGTGGCTCTTCTGATCTCAGCTGGGCTCACTCACATATTTGTGAACCTGGATATTTTAATTGAAAAATCAGATCAGCTATGCAACTCTGCTTCTGGGAGTTGAATGGATAACAGCTGGGTGATAGAATACTTGGGCCATGCATCTCTCACCATCCCTTAGGCAGTCCAGATTTATTTACATGGTGATCATGAGGTTCCAAGAAAGCAAATAGAGACCTCTCGGAGCCTAGCTCAGACACAGTAAACTTTTTTTTGGTTGTTTGCTACATTCCATAGGTCAAAGCAAGTCACAAGTCTAGCCCAGATTCAAGTATTGAGGAAATAGACTTCACCCCGTGATGGAGAATACTGCAAAAATCACACTACAAAAATGTTGGATATAGAGAGGAAAAAAATAATGTGGCCATTTTTCTAACGTACCGCAATGAGTATGCATAAGAGCCAGGTAAACATGTTAACTTCATCCTTACTTGGAGTCTCTTAGTAAACGAAAGCTTTTCCTGCACTCAAAAGTGAGGGTTTATATTTTTCTCCCATCAGATGAGCAAATATTTTAAATTAAAATAGGCAGGGTTCAAAATGGAAAAAAATATGCACTTTCATATGCATATGCATCAGGAATTCATGATGAAGGTATTATAAACAAGTAATCATGGATTTCACAAAGATAGAGCTCTATGACTATTTCATAAAGCACCATTTTTAACACTGAAAAAATGGGAAAATCAGTGCCCAAAAATAACTGGTAAAATACATTATATTATAACCACATAATGAAATGCTACATCTTTATTGAAATGAAGATGTAGTAGAAGAATATTAAATGATGTACGAAGGTAGTCATAACATATTGAGGTAAAAAGATTACCTACTATGTTATTTATTTGCATGTTTTGGTATAACTATTTTCTAAAGATATCACTATTAGTCATTTTGCTTTTTAGAGGGAAAAAAATTCTTTGACAATAAATTTGTCATTCCTTTTACATGCTGCAAATGTAACAAAGCCCCATCCCAGGTGTATCTTCAGTTATATAGTATTATCACAGAAGAATTTATGAATCACTACCGACTATATGACGTTGTTTAAACTTGAAACTCTGTGGTGACTCCTGACTAGGCATGCCAGTCATTTGCTGTTTTAATCCTTCAATAATTAGTACAAACAGTAGAGTTTGTTTGGAACAGAATCCAGAAATTTTTGTTGATAGGTCCAGCTTTGCCATGTTTTAGTTGAATGACTTGGAAAAAATTACAATGTTTTTCATTTCATTTTCCTATCTGTCAAGTGAGGATATGTCTGAATTCAAACTCCTTGAGAGAAAAACCTACCATGTATAACTCAACTTTGTGTCCTCAACTTCCTTACCTAGGGATACATTTTACATACTTAATAGCTTACCTGTTTACTTCATGGAAGTATATCAGAATATTGGTAAGCATACCATCACTCTGCAAGCAAGGTTTCCATAGGGAAGGAAGATGAATCAGACATTTCTTATATGCCAAGTCAGATTCTCTTATAGTCACTTATCCCCAGGGCTTTTACCATCAGTGGCTACCAACTTTGTGGGAAGTCTGACCAACTTCCTATGAGCACAATCCAATAGTATCTCACCATACACCCATATCACACCTCCACCTACCTCCTTCCCCAAGGTTTCCCTGTTGATGCACAAGAGTGAGAGCACTTAAGTGTTCTAGTGAACTCCATGTTGTAACACCAAAGATCACTTGTCTCCTTCATGCTACAGAACAAAAGAGTCACTCTATTGGCGATGGTGATCCATCCTGACTGTCATGAGGAACTAGGGTTGCTGATACACAATGGACGAAGGGAGGAGAAAGTCTAGAAATAAAGGTTCCCTAGAACATCCATTGGTGTTTCTCTCCTCAGTAATAGTAGTAAACAGATAACTGAAGCAAGAACAACCTGACATAAACAAGATATTTAGAACCCTTGGGGACAAAAGTTTAAGTCATTGTACTGGGCAAGCATTCCAGGTCAGCTGAAATGTTGGTCATACATTGGGGAAATCTAGAAGAGATGATAGAGGAGGGAGATGATGAATATCAAGTAGAACCTAGGGACCAGCTGGAACAGTGGCAACTGTAGATTATTTCATTAACCCTCTTGTCTTGTCTTTTAAGAGTTTGCTGTGGTAATTGCCTTGAAGTGTTCTGATTGGATTTGTACCTCTTCTCCCACAGAAGATGCCATGTTGTAGCATAGGAGCCAAATGCCAGGTATAATGCCTCACCTCACACTGAGTACTTTCTGCCTCTTGCCCAGGGTTTCCCGCTGATACTAAGGTAGAACACACTGCAGAGTCCATATATGCTCATCCAGGAATTTCAGAGGAATTAATACCCATAGGGTTAACTTTTGACCAGTGGGAGACCAGGAGCCCAGTAGAAAAATTCTTCTCACTTCCTCTCTTCATACAGACCTTCCTTGCAAACTGGTCATTTACACAACCTCTTAGAAGATGATCCTGTAAGACTGAGCCATTAGTTGCTCTTGACATCAAGTGGTGACTGGCTTAATAATGTACCTTTGTATTGGCTTTTTCTCCTTTCTTGACTCATTCCCCCTTTTGCTTCCCTATTCCCAGAGATTGCACTCTAATAAAGTAAGACATAAGCCTTGGCCTCAGGCTCTGATTTCTGCAGAAACAAGTATAAAACAGAAAATAATTGGCAGGCCCAGTTGTGGTGTTCATACCAAGACAGAGTGATTTGTAGGGTAGGCATCAAGGCTCCTAGAGGTGGGAAGACACAGGAAGAAAGTCCTAAATATTTTCCCTTACTTGCTACACTCAAGGTTTCTCTCCACTGTGGATTCTCTGATGCCGACATTACGTGGATTTAACAGCAAAAACTTCTCCACACTCATTACCCTCATGGGTCTTCTCCCCAGTGTGGATTCTCTGATGTATAACCTCTCTTCCCCGGAAGCAAAGAAGACTTTGTGAATTTCCCAAAAGCCTTGCCCAATGCCCATGATTAAGGCAAGGAGTAGCCCTATAGGGAACAATGGGCAGACTTTCTCATAATCCTTTTTTCTTCATAAATCTTTGTTCTGATGGTGCTGACCTCATCACTCCAAGGATGAACATGAGATCAGGCCTGGCCCATCAGAGGCTTCCTTTATCCTATTGCTATGGTTTGAATGTTTCCCTTCCAAATTCATGGTGAAACAATCCCCACTGTGGTGTTATTATGCAGTGGTGCCTTTAGCAGGTGATCAGACCACAAGGGTTCCCCCTCATATATGAATTAGTGCCTTATGGAAGGGCTTAAGGGAATTAGCTTAGGCCCCTTTTTGTCCGTCTGCAATAGGAGGATGCCACCACTGATAAAGCAGCCTTCACTGGTCACCAAACCTGCTGGTGCCTTGATCTTGGACTTGTCAGCCTCTAGAATAACTGTAAGAATACATTTGCACTGTTATAAATTACCCAGTCTGCGGTATTTTGTTAGAGAGGCACAAGTGGACTAAGAAACCTACATACCATGATTGTTTCAGGGATTGGTCTCTGATTGGAGCCAAGCCAATCTTGGAATCTTTATACCAGTGCTTTAAGGAAAAATGCTTTCTGCTGGGGGACTGACGCTGGAAAATGTCAGTCTTGAGTCTCTTAGTGTCCAATAATAAAGCCAACAGAACAAAAGTAGAGCTTAGAAGTGAAAACAGATTTTCACCATTACCATGCAACCTAGTTGGGACTAGCAAGAGATAAGCATTCAACTTCTAGGAAGAGTCAGTGTGGTTTTTTTTGTTTTTTTTTTTTTTTACAACCACAGTATGAGATGATGTGTTGGCACCTTCATTAGTTGAGATTTGAGGGTAGTAAAAAGGCCATTTGAGCTAGTGTAAGCACAATAGACTAATAGGTAGGGTTTACTTCAGATACGACTGGCTCTGGGGGTCAAATAATATCATCATAACTGCCTACTTTCAGCTGAGCATTGCTTTTTTCTTCTTCTTCTTCCTGTAGGCTTATTGGGCAGATTCCATGTGGAGAGCAGCCGTGGCCTTGAGGCTCTGTGCGGTGGTGATACTGACTGTAGTCCCTGGCAGTTGCAGCAGGCAGGAAGCAGAGAGAGAAATGTGATGAGGCAGCTCTGGAGAGGAGGAGCCACAGGTGCACCCCTGCATTGGGAAGAAGCCATCAACAACTGCAGCAAAGAGACTAGATATAACCACACACTCCTGGGTTTGCTGGGGAATTTAAGAAAAATGCAGTCAGAAATCAAAGGTGGAGTTCTAGGAGTCCTCCTGGAAAGAAGCTAGGGAGAGAAATTCTGATTGGCATTTTTTTCCTTTATAGCTCCACTTTTGTCCTGCTAAAAGCAGGAATCAGATCAAATGTTAAGCAGATGACATTTGACAGTCGCAACGCAATACTTTTTCTCATTATCACATAACATTCCCCTACTACACCATTTAAATCTCACTCTCACCCAGAATAATCACAGATGAGTCATGAGAAGTGATAAATAAAAAATACGATTTTTTAAGTCAAATGTAAGTATCAAACTATAAAGACCCAGCATGTATAAAATTTAATTTTGCAATTAAACTCCCAACAATGTTTATCTCATACCACCCATTATGTGCACAGATCTCATTGTGATGCTCAGAAATTAAAGCATGTAAGATGTGTGGTTCAAGGAAATGACTTTTTAAAGAAAGAAAACCCACTGAAATTTCTTGATTCCTGTTACTGAAAAAGTCAGAAGTAGGAGTAATTACCATGAAAAGGAAGTTAAAAATGCTGGGACCCCAAAAGAACTAAGATTTAGCCCAGGCTTCTCTTAGATGGTACAGCTGGAAGAAAGTCCTAAAGATCTTGCCATACTTGCTACACTCAGGGTTTCTCTCCACTGTGGATTCTCTGATGCCAACATTATACAGATTTAACAGCAAGATCTCTTCTATACTTATTACCCTCATGAGTCTTCTCCCCGGTGTGAATTCTCTGATGTATAACCAACTTGGAACTAATGGGGAAGCCATTTCCACTCTTCTTGCAGAGTTAGGGTCTGTCCCTACTATGGATTCTCTGATGCCTGATCAGATTGACTATTATTATCAGCTCCCCCACACTCCTCACACTGATAAGATTTCTCTCCAGTATGGGCTGATGACAAATCAATGAAGAATTGCCATTAAATGATTTCCCACACTCCTTACATGGATAGTGTGGATTCTCTGGCTTCTGACATACTAAGAGGAAAAGCTGATGCACCTTCCATACTCCTCACATCTGAAGGGTTTCCTTGCATAGTAGCTTCTCTCTTTCTTTTCCTTTAATATTTTTTTTTTCTGTGGGGATTCTCTGGTGCTTCTCCATGTCACATGTTTCTGGGAAGTCAGCTTCCTAAGAAATATTCTTTAACAGCCCACGTGACATCACCATGTCTGTTTCTTCAGAAATTCCCTGTGTTGATGTGGACTAACTGTCAGTATCGGTCTCAGCATCTTTACAGGAGTCCCTGGTCCCCTCTGCAGGGGGACCATCCTGTGTGTCCAGGACCCAAGGCATATCCCCTCCCACCAAGTTTGCAAACTGGGTATCCTGGTGCCCGGCTTTCAGGGTTGATGGCCATCACCTGGGCTCCTTCTCTCTGGGCTTCTGGGGAAAAGTGGGGGCTCCAGTGGCAGATGGCCAGAAAATAACTATTGTTGTATTTTGTATGAAGTACAGCCAAACATTTCTGGGTCAGTTGTACAGAAGGGAAAAAAAACAAATGGCTCCCCGTATCCTCCTCTCCTGCTAGAGAAGCAATACGGGGAAGGGATAATCACTGTTCCAGGGTCCTGAAATCCTTATCTGGAATTTATACTTTCTGATCCTGTTTCTAACATCCAGAGCTAAGATAACAATCAGCTGGTGCCTTCTAGAACAGCTGGAACCTCCATCTGGACACATAGAGGGACCTCAGTGGTAGCTTCATTCTCCCTGTGATTAATCCGCAGGATTCTAGCATGGCTTCTGTTTCTTTTGGAGAACACATAACTTTCAACAAAGGGATTTTGAAGTTGACAAGCTCCCAAACTCTGTGATAAAGCAGTGAGTTTTGCCAAAAATAAGTTGTGTTCTGTCACTAATTCCATCTGCTTTCTAGATGATTTTAGTGAACTTTTACCTAAAGAAGAAGGGCTCCTGAATTGTTACCCTTCCAGAAAAGGAAACCAAAAGCTCCAGCAAAATAAATCAAGCTAATACTAACAGTTAACTGAAAGGAAATGAGATGCTTTCCTCTGATAAAAAAGGGGGGGGCATCAAAAGTCAAAATCAAAATGCTTGCAGTTTCCCAAACACACCCTCCTCTTCCAGCCTTTCACCACCCCATTTGCCATTGTCTCTGCTTGGAATGGTGCTATGCTGGCTGGGGTCATAAAATGATGAAAAAGAGAAAGTGGATCCCTGCCTGTTTATAATCAGGAAAGCACAGGATGTACAAGAGTCTTGAGAAGTGCCCCCTCACCCAGACTCTGAGGATAAGAAAAGCTTCCTGCAGAAAACGCTATCTAAGCTGAAAACTAAAATCAATTTTGACAATGTAAAAGATAGTGTTCCAAGCAGAGGAACAGTGAGCACTAAACCTAGAGAGACCGGAATGACTGCAAGAAGTTCAGGAGAGGTCATTTATTTGGGCAGTGGGAGGTAAGTTGACAGTAGAGAAGAAGAAGAGAGAAAATGAGAAACGGGAAAGGAGAATAGGGAATGAAATAAAATGAGAGAGCGGGCAGCAGCCACATCATTAAGTCATATTTAGGTGTCTGCGATATATCTTAAGAAAATGAAGAGACATTAAAGAAATTTAATCTGGGGTGGGATTTGTACACCTATGTTTGAGAATCTTTGTAATCCCAGTGTCTAGCATAGTGTCAGGCTCTTAATAGGTGTTCAATAAATCCTATGGTGAGTGGTGTGGCAAACCAACGTAACAGTCTGTATAAAAGCCATCTTTTTAGTAAGAAATATTTATAAGCATAAATATTTATAAATGTGTACATAAATATTTGTAAATGTACAGAACAGTAAATTATCAGACCACACTCACAAAAGGCATAACAATGGTTAGAATGCCAGCATCACATCCCCAATGCTGAAAACAATAAATTATTCATAAGTATATTCTCACTGCATAAACCAAATACTTTTTCTAATGTTAACACTAAGGAAAGATGGCTTCCTGAAGAAGAGAGAAGCAAGAATGTTCTGGAACCTAGGGCAGGGAAAGATGGCAGCATAGCCATGAGGGTATGGCTTTACTCTACCTACATTCATACCCAGATCCTAACAAGACTCCCAGATGTAGACTCTTGGCCAAAGTTTTACTCTTTCTGTACCCAAGTCTACTTTGTAAATGAGAATATCAACTCATAAGTTTATTGTGGGAATCTAGCTACATAGGACCTGCAAAGCACTCACACAGTGCCTAACATGTAGTGAATAGTTACTGGGAAATCCCTCTTCTAAGTGCAAGAGGCAGGCTTTGGAGAACAACATTCTGGACACATTGGAGACACATGGAATTCCTGAGAGCAGGCAGCAGGATAAAACTTAAAAGGAAGGAAGAGTTCCAGAATTCGGATCTATTGTTAAATTTTTATCAAGTTAGGTCTCCTTTCTTGAGAATTTAAAATTGGAACTAAGATTCTGGTTCAGTTTATGTTTATTTATTCATTTCATAAATATTTGTTAAGCACTTACTATACGCTAGGCACTGTTCCAGGAACCAAAGATTTGACAACTAAAGAGAAATGGAGAAAGAGAGAAAAGGAAAACCAGGAGAATTATACATGAAAAACTATTACAAAGAAGGTTTATACCTACAAAAATGAAGTGGAGTGATTAGGCTGGGGTTCTCCAGACATTTTATGAGATGAGTTTCTTCCTGCTTTCTTGAGCCTAGGGATGAAGTGCTGACAGTAAGGTTCCAGAGCAGAAGAAAACACACTGGGAAGCAGAGAAGGGTAATAGAAACCGACCAGAGATTCTGCAGATACATTTGACAACAATCAGCAGGTCCTGATATTCTAATTAAAGTCACAGGGTCAGGGGAGCTTCTGGGACTTCCTGAAGCATCAAGAAAACTCTTAAGAATTAGGGAAGAGCAGAGATAGCCCAAGGAACTGTATTTTATATCATATAGTTTCTATTTTAACTGTATGATATAAAACAACACCATTCTAGGAAAGGGAGGAATATACTACCTGTTCAAGAGGAGAGGATTAGGATGAGAATGAAAGAGCAACAACAGCTACTTCAAAGGTAATGGGGAATTTGGAGCCATGTGTTGAGGATTTGCGACTGGTGAGAGGGTACACAAGTGTCATCAGACAAAAGACAAAGGATGACATTACCAGAATCTCATTCAAAAAGGAAAGGAAATAGGAAGTCATTAAGAATCATGATTTGCATCTGTTAAGGATTTTCAAAAGAAAATGGCATATTTTTAATTAAAAAGCAAAAGGGGATAGATAAAAATTACAAATGTGTTTAATCAGTGTAACCAGCACGGTCCACACGTTCCATGAGACCCCAATTCCCAAATGATAATGTCTCAGATTCTTATCCCATCTTACTGGATAAGTTTAGTCCTTACCATATTTCCATCCCTAAATATTCTGGACTCCCTGGAAAATGCTCTCATGCTCTCCAAAGCCATCTTGATTGTCACCTGCCACCTCAGTGAGCCCCCTAGCTCCAGGCCCCTGTGGGGACCACTGCTCACCCCAGCATGCGTGACCCCCTGCCACCTCCACAGGTTTCCCTCAGGCAGCTCCTCTCATTGAGACCGCTTCACCTGAAGCCTGGGTATACTCGTTCCTTCAAGTCCCCAGTTAGAACAGAACAGGTCAGCAAGAGTCTATTGACACTTTAGGGATAATCAGAGGATTAAAGAAAAGGAAATAGAGCAGTAAAATTGAAATTGCTTTTAGAGATGGTACACTCAAAACCTATAAGCCAAGACCCAAGGGTCCATGACAGCACTCCTCCCAGCTAGTCCACGTGTTAGGAAACTGCTTCTGAGCCACACATATACCCCAGCAAGTTCCTAAAAATATCCTGCTTTTCAATGAAATGAGTTCCTAATCCCAAGGCCTAGGAAAATAAGTTTATTCTTTCCATGACCTTAGACCTGCCTCCCCACTTCAGGGGGAAATCCCACCAGGTTGAGGTCTGCTCTATGACCTTCTGTAGAGTGAGCCCCAAAATACACAAGAGTTCAGGAAATGTATTTTCCAGTTCTGGCTTATTCACTCCTGAATTATGTGAGATTTGAGACATCAACAGTCCAGCCTGTGTTGAGCTGCATCAGACTCAGGCCACATGAGGTGAAGTGAGACCTGCATATGTTTCCAGCCATGACAGGTCTCAGCTTCCACTCGTCAGCCACTGCTAAAACATACACATGGATTTATCCAGAGCAAGAGCAAGAATACATGGCTATAAGGAAGTCCAAGTCTATGCAAAGGAAACAAGCCTGTCCTCAAAGAAACAATCCTCTGAGATGCAATTCTGTCTGCTCTAAAGACAAACAAATTATTATAACATCAAACAGTATAGCTCTTTGGGATCAAGAAATCTCAACCCTTTTGAAATCCAAACAAGGAACTCTGCTCTGTGTTCAAAAGGCCAAGGGATGGAGGATAA